CCCCAAAACCCCAAAACCCCAAAACCCCGCTGGCAAAGATCAAATAGCAATAGTGAATATTAAACTTAAATTTATTTATATTTATTGATTCTAATCTATCCTTAGATTTACATAAATGGATATTGATACTAAAATTTGTAACATATTAAAGCACTTAATCCTCTAAAGAAAAAGATTAGTAATCTCCAACAAACCAAGGGAATTAGGAGTAGATTTTTAGATAAATTCGCCGAGGTAAGTGTAATATCATTTTAATCTTGAAAATTTAGAATTTGACTCAACAAATGAGTTATTCCAGTAGCTTAGACAAAAGTGAATAAGATTGGAGGATCTAGAAGCAAAGTAAGCATACCTTTATTATATCATTGTGTATAATCATAATAGGAATTTCGAAGACTTCAGAGATTAAAATGGAAGCAAAAAGGTTTAAGAAGTAAGGTTCGAGTATTATATGAAGAAGAAACAGGCTAAAATGGCCCAATTAAGAGAAATAATTTCTCAAAAAAGAAATGAAAAGTAGAGACTTCGAGAGTTTACTCCAAATAATCAATCTCAATACTAAACGACTGGATAAATGCTTAGAAAATAACTATCTATTATATCTAATGCAATGGAGGATCCAATGCTGATGAGTAGAAATAATTTAGATATAAGCAACGTAACCAACGAAGAGCATCCATATTTAGAGACAACTTCTCCATTTATGACATCTCTTCAAAAATAAAAAACTTAAAAAGGGTAATCGATGTCAGTTGAAGGTAATTATGAGAATTAGACTCAAAGAACTAAGTTCTAGAGATCACCAGATACTGTAACAAAAAGACTTGTAACATTCAATAACATTAGTATCAATAATAATAGTACAAATGGAAATAATAACAATACAAGCACTATATTAGAAAGAGGTAGTTTGAAATTGAATTTAAGTGCTTTGATAGTAAACTAGCAGCCAGATATCCCTCTTAAAATATAACTAGGCTTTAAAACACCTGATTTATTCACTCAATAGAAATAGTAGAATTTGGAAAAAATGACAAGTGCAAAATCAAAGTTGGAAGTTTTGGCTGAAAAAGATAAGGTCAGATTTGAGAAGAAAATTAAGAATGAAAAGCAAAAACTTGATAAACTTCAAGAATTTTTAGAGTATGATGAATATGAAAGAAATCTTAGAATTCAAAACTATAAGAAAAAACAGCAGAATGCTATTAAAAAACTGGAGAAAATAGACAAAGATATTGAGAAAAAATAGTATCAAGACTATAAGGAGTACCTATCCTAAAGATAAAAGCAACAATCTAGAATGCTTTTGGAGCAATAATAATTAACTCTAGTAAAGCTTAAAGAAAATATTGAAAACACTCAAAGAGAATTTGAAACACAGCAACAAATAAGAGAGAGAATAAAACTAGAGGAGGAATAAGCATAGAAAAGGCTAGAAAGCATAACTAAGAGACTTGAAAGAGTGTCATCAAAATAATCTTTGTCTGCTGATTAATTAAAGAAAAGTTGAAATAAAAAGAATTAGTAGATGATTAAAGCAATTACGGAGTTCAAGGAACGCATGAAAGAGGAGGAACTAATAAAACTCCAAAGTGAATTAAAGAGATTTAGTAGGATAGGAGACAAAAGATAAAAAGCTGAAGAAGACAGAAAAGAGTATATGGACTAGCTTCAAAAACTAAATAGAGAAAGACATGAGAAGAAAAGACAGATTAGAAATTAGGAACTTAAAGACAGAGATTAATGGAGTTTCTCTGTCCTTAAAAAGCACAAGCGTTAATGGGACTAAGTTATGGAAAGAAATCAGTCACTTGAGGAGACTATTCAAGCGAAAAGGGAGTTGATGACTTTGAAAATTAAAGATAATAAGAGTTCGATTTTTGAAAGCGAGTTACTACATAAAGAACATAAAGATAAGATCATATAGAAACATATATAGCTATTTAAAAGTCTATAGAAATCAAAAGAAAAGCTGGACTAATTGTAAATTTCACAGCGCGTTACAGAAATCTAGAAAAAGAGAGAGCTATTTGGGGATCAAAGCTGGACTCAGACATTAAAACCAAGAAATAAATTAATTGAAGTTAATCTTAAAAAAGTTGTTCTATAAGAATAGCCTGCTATCAGAAGTGGAATAATGATTTGGAATCTAAAAAAGTTTAGCAGTAAAAAGAGTAGGTGCGATTCTGATGATTGATGCTGAAATTACTAGGAAAATAATTTAAAAAGGATTACAAATAATATGAAATGCTGATTTACTTAATTAAAGTTGATTTCTTAAAATATGACCCATTAAGTTTTAATTTAACATTAATATAAAGCAAGACAAGTGGAGTATGCTGTTTAACAAAAGTGCTGGCTGCCATCTGCAGGAGTATTAGGTGTTACATTTACTCATGTTTTTGAGTGCGCCTAAAACTAGCGAATGGTAATCAAGACATTTGCCCGGCTAAATTTCTGTCACCCCACTTTGAATCGGCCTCCAAATTTAGAGCTCTTTCTCTTTTTTGCTTGGCTTTCGAGGTGGTCTTCCAATTAAAATGAATATAATGAATTTTTATTTTAAATCATATTATTAGCAACATATTATTAGTATAATTTTTACTTCTTGGGGTTTTGGGGTTTTGGGG